TATTTACATGGCTGTCAGTCTCGCAATTGCAACTCTGGGCAGCTAACAATAGGTAAAAGCCAAGAGCAACACCAGCCCAAAATGATTAAAAGCAATTATAATAAAAATCCACTGCACTGTGCCTAAGGTTAAGAACTCTACCTCGCAAATCAAATAGTAGGCAAACAACAGAAAAACCAACCAGCTTCACCTAACAATCCAGCCCCAATGCTTCAGGGAAAAGCCAAGATTTTGAACCTTATGGAAGGCTAACAGGGTCACCACCATCCAGATCTCATGGAACTGGGCAGACCCCATGACAGAGAAAACACATCTCCTCCATCCCACTAGACAGCATTGCTTTGTAGAAGAGACTGGAGTATGTCCACCCTGTTAGATCTGATGAGTGAGCACAAATGGAGACAAACAGTCCTGCAAATAGCCTGGCCCCATCTAACGTAAGTTCTTATAGATGATAACCAAGACCTTGAATTGCACCGAGAAGTCCACTGGAAACCAGTGCAGCTCATGAAACAGTGGTATTACTCAGTGGTGCAGTGATATACTTAAAATTGTCTGTGCCACCAAATTCTGGACATTTTACAGGTTCCAAATGCTCTTCAAGGGTAACCCCATGTACAGTATATTGTAGTAGTCCAAACAAGAAATGGCTAAGGCATGAATGATGGTGAGCAAAGCCTTCTGATCCAGAAACAGGCATAACTGATATACAAGATAGATTTGTGCAACTTGTTCCTTAAGCAGGTCTAAGAGGATCCCCCAAATTGTACACTAACTCTGTCTGGGGAAGTGCAACTCAATTCAGAGTTAAAAATGGAAAGTTTCCAGATCCAAAAAGCCTAAAAAACCAGACACTCACTCTGACCTTCAGATAGTGGGAAAGAATCTTGATGGCATCACTTGAATGGCAGAGATATATAATTGGGTATCATCAGCATACTGATAAATACCTCATCCTGTGTCAACAGATCATCTCCTGCAATATAATGTCCCCATGTCAATGTTAAACAGGAACAGGGACAGGAAAGAGACCTGAGGAACCCTGGAAAGTAGAGGCTTTGGACTTGATCTCTCCCCCCCAATCAATACCAAATGGAATCAGCACTAGGGAAAGGAGGACAACCACTGCACCACTGTACATCCCATTCCCAATTCCCTAACCAAGTTCAGAAAGATACTATGACTATGGTATTGAAAGCTACTGACAGGTCAAGAAGAACCCAGGATGGATGCACTACCCCCATTCCATGCCTCCCAGGGCTCAACAAGTACAATCAGTGCCATCTCAGTGCTGTAACCAGGTCTGAAACCTGATTGAAAATGGTCCAAATAATCTGTTTCTTCCAGGGCTGTAAGCCAACCACCTTCTCCACAACCTTCCCTAAAAAGGGAAGTTTGGAGACTGGATGAAAACTATCTAGTTCTGTTGGATTTAGTGATAACTTCTTGAGAAAGCAGATCATTGCCTCTTTCAGAGCAGGTGGAACTATCCTCTTCCTCAAGGATGCATTAACCATCCAAGGACCCAATCATGTCATATTCCAGACGAGGTCTTGACCAACCAAAAATAGATCTAAAATACAGATGGCTGAATGTAGCATAAGAAATGGCAAAGAGGTATAGTAGTGTGATCTACTTTTTCCCTGGTATCTTATATAAACTCCATATTATCACCCTATATTGTAATTTGCTTGTTTCCACACTATTTCTTTTGATTATCCTCTAATAACATCTTGTACAGACCATGATACAAATGCACCTGCTGTCCTAAACTTATATTATTTATTCAATCTTATCATTATAATGAACAGATATATAGCTCTTCGAGAGGGAGGATGAGTTAATAGCTGCCAAGTAAAGATATCTCCCTTGGAATGTTCTAGGCAGGCATTGCCAGGTGCCAAATTAGACCACATTCATTTTTCACTTCTGAAAAAAATATTTAAGGAGAGAGAAGTCAGGGTAGGATGGGAACTTCAGCGTAGACCTAACCAGGATGTTCCAGCTGGCATGAGAAAGGGATCTGTCCACAATCTTTTTCAGAGTTCCTGTCTATGGAAAGGACATTTAGGTATACCTTCTCTTGTAATTTATATTACTTCAATAAACTTTTTGGCTGTTTTGCTCTACAATTGTGTTTATTGTCTTGAATCCTTAAAGAACGTACTGGTATCTAACTGGACGTTGGCTGGAAGAACACTGAGCTCACAGTTCCAAAGACTCTCTCTAGTTTATCAGGACTAACAGATTCAAACTTCCCAGGTATCAGGCAGGACTATGCATCTGGCAACACCACTGACCTGCACAACTGGAGTCCAACTCCGAGAAAATCCAAGTAACCTTATCCAACGGATGCCTAGAATAATCCTCACAATGTCCTGCAGTGTTCCCCTGGACCCTCCTTAGCAGGACGGACCAGATCACCTTAAACATGGCTGCCAGCTGGTTCTCCATAGATGCAATAAGGGCAGAAAAATAACTGTGTTTTCCTGCCCTTATTGCCATGAGGTAATCCTTAAGAAAGGCTCTTACTCACACTTTGCCAGGTTCATTCTTTCTTTTCCTCCAGCAGGATTATGGGTGTCTGTTATGCCGCTTCATCCCCTGGAGTTCCTCTGAAAACCAGTGGGGGCTCCAGGATACAAGGACATAAAAAGTCCACACAGGCACAATTCAGTCCAGGGCCATTGTTATTCTCTCATTTCAAGCAACAACTAAGGCCTCGGCCAAACCATGCACCAGAACCAGAAATTTTGGATTCAGCAACATTCAAAGTTAGAATTAAATTCTGAGCTATTTTAGGCCAATTATAGGATCCCAATGTTTTAGAAATACTACTGCCAGAATTTAACTGTGCTTTCCATTTTTGTCAATGGTTATGTGAACATACTGCCACGTTCTGCTTGTTTGTCCAGTTCTTAACATTCTTTGTTCTAAAAATTCTCCAATTTTTATTATTTTTCAGTTGATTCATTTATGAAGAGGTATCCCAAACTGATGGAACAAGCTATAGTCCCAAAGATTTGCTACAGGTTGATAGAGAGGTACTCTTAGAATGGAGGTCTTCATATAGTGACTAACACTTACACAATATTAAAAGAATTATTATACAGTCAAATGCTCCTTATGGACCATTAGCTCTTGACCCATCACAATCTAACTCTCCTTTTTTCCTTTTGGCTCAACCTAGATTGCATTTAAAGACACCATCATTTTTTCCTGTTCTTGAAAACACACCTTTGGATTTATCCATCCCTTCCAAATATTGTCAGAATTTTATTCTACCATTTGCTTATAATCCTCTAATTTATGCCACTAACAGCTAGTATCTTGGCCTTTGTAGATTTCTCCTCTTAGTTTCTATTTTCCCTTTCCGTGTATTGTCCTCACCAAAATATATTTTTTCTGATTCTCAAACTCAAAGGTGTTTGTTCTCATCCTCTCTGGCCACTATTACCATAACTTCCATATCCACTGATATCTTCACTCCCTTCAAGCTGATCAGACACAAATCCTTGGATTTATGATTCTGCTCACAAATAGCTTATTCAACTTTATTTCAAATAATACCTCTGAGTGCCCTGTGAGCTCCTTCACAGATATTCTTCAAAAATAAAAAAAAATGGTGCATTCATACTAGTTCTTTCTTAGGAAGTATATCCAGAGGTCAAAAGATAAATGGTTGTACCATGATCAAGCATGCCCAATGTAGCAGCTACTTTTGAATTCAAAAGCCCTGGATCTCCAAAACTATTTTGTGATTGCACTAATGACGTGCTTTCATAATTGCAAATGTGCCAATTGACCCAAAAAGGTGTTGGACCATTATTTTAGTCTATTATCCTTTCTCTCATTACACTGATTGCATGACCCCTGCTTTATAGAAACAGATAATATTGATTGCCATTCCACAGCACAGAGGAGGAAACAGTCATGCAGGAAATAAATGTTTTAAATATCAGGTAATAAATCAAGCCCCATTTTCGCAACTAAACAGTAGCTGGAAACAATTCAAGCCATCTTTCATTAACCTTAGCATAAAGCAAAATAAGCGTATACATACAAGTCACTGGAGACTTTTACAACATCAAATTTAGCCAATAATATGTGCAGGCACTGAACAATATAAATTCTTACCAACTAGGCATAAAAGCTGAGAATCCCGAGCTTTTTCAAGAAGAAACTACCAAAAGAATTTATTTCTGCTTACTTAGTTTTTAGTCTGACTCCCCACTGCAGAAGGTGATATACTGTTATTTTTCCCATCCCACTATAGTCAGTTCTGGCTGCAGAATGACTGACATAATTGTCATACCATTTGGAATCATATCAACAGGTACTAACATTACAGCTTGCTGCAGAATATAAATTAATTTGGGAATTACAGTTACAGGAAAGTATTTAAACAAGAAAAAGTATTTTTCTTTACCTCAAATGTTCTCAATTTGGAAACAATTTCTTCCAACAAGTGAACATCTTTAGAAATCTTTAGTTTTAATTTATCCCTGTATCCTTGCAAACATTTCAATTCTTGCTTATATAGCTTTGATTTTTCAGCAGAAATACACTTTTCCAAGACTTGTGTGTCTTCAACAAGTTTATCTACCATGCCTTTTTGACTTTCTAGAGTTTCACAAACCATCTGCAGGGAATAAATATAAAAATATTAATTATATTTATATAGAACAGTGATCCTCCATGTTTTATATCCTATAAAATATCTTTAATTGATTTATTAGACTAATAGAATTGACCTTTGTGTCAAACTAGGATGTTGTCTAATGCCAAAGTGAAAATTATATTGTATATTTAAAAGCTTTTAAAAATATTAAACTAATCCAAATCCTGATTCTTATATTGACATCTTGTATTAATAATTTGTTGTGTTGATTTTTAGGCCAGGAGTATGTAATGAAAATGGTTGGAGATATTCCTCTCATTCCATCCACCTTCAACATTTGGAAATCTAGAGACTAAATAAATTCTACACACAACCCCAGCCACTGACATCAAAGGGACAATCAACATGTTTAGTGTAACTAGATTTCTACCCCATGAGGGAAAAGTCCAGACAAAATCAATCCTGACTTGTTAAAAATGCACTTCCACACTCTCTTTAAAAGCTTTTCTTGAACTTTACTTTCTACCTATTAAAGGACTCAGCCACCTTTTCCAGCTCAGGCACAATATCACAGAAAGTCTTGGCCACTGTAACAGGATCACCCATCTCACAGGACTTCAGTAAGTTTACCTTGACTTTCTTAAAATTTGGGCAATTTTTAAAACATATCAGTCTGGGGACTTATGGGCCACACAGAGACTTCAGACCATAGGCTGCTAAGGGTACTAAACCAGTTTAAGGATACAACAGGCACATGTAACTGACTCTTACTATGTGGTTAATCCACATTATGATTACATCACAGGAATTTTTGTCCTTCTCTCACAAAAACATTTAGGGGCCGATGACCCACAAAAAACTGCTAAGATTGAGAAAAAGTCAGAGAGTTAGAGCAGGGTTTTTCAAACTATGTTCTGCAGAATTCTAGAGTTTCTTAAGAACTTGATGGGATTCCATCAGAGACTAAGGGCAAAAAGCAAAAACAAAACCATCTGAATGCAACAGTATTCTACTATTAGAGCTTTGCCTCAGAAGTTGCAGAATTTTTTTTAACTAGCAGGTTCCACAGCCAGAAAATGTTTAAACCCCCCTGAGCTAGAGAGTGGAATAGCTTGTCCTTGCTTTGCTTAGCACAACTCTGGAGGCCATTTGGACAAATTTTCACAAAACTTAACTTTGTATTCCATACTCTAATGAAGCACCAGGCAAGACATGTACAAAAAGTAAAAGCAACTATGGAAAAAAATAATCCAAGATTTGCTCCATGACACATTGCTGGAAATTGGACAACTTTGCACTTTAAAAAAAAAAAAACTTCAACTGATCTAGTAAAGATACTGCCTTAATATAGCAGAATTTTTACATGATCTATATGGGAACCAATTTCACTTTCATCACATCAGAAACAGGTTAGAATTGTGTTGCTCAAACATTTATTTGTGCCAGTCACTTGGAATCTGCTGGATGACTAGAAACATTGTCACATAAATTAGCATTTGTGTATCTGCCATGTTCTTTTTCTTAAATGGGTTGTCATCCACTTAATCCCAGCTACCCCCATTTTCCTCCTTTCCACTTGCAAACTGACAGCTCTGCAAGGAAATGGCTATTCTGGCTGCTAAAACCATTTAGCTAAGACTTCCTAAATATTCTAAAGCTTTGTTTCTACGAAAAAAGAACTTTTTCCCAATAAGTATCTTGGATGCATTGTTCACCGAAGCCTCTATTTTATCTGCAACTATTTCTGCATTCCATGTCACTTGTTAGTGCTCTGTCAGTGAGCAGTTTTCACACATAAAATATTTTAAAAAATGCAGAAGACAATCAAGCTTTCCACCCACATATCAACGTTAGTCACCAGAGTTAAAAATGTAATGTGATAAAGATATGAAACCAGTCTGCCCATATCCCGCTTCATCTTAACTTAGAATCTGCTCATGTACCAAGAGGAAACATACCTTTGTCTGCTGCAAGGCTTTTTCAACTTGAGTCATGTCATTTACAGAATTCATGATGGAGTGCACTTTGCTTTCCAATTCGTTCAGCTCATCCTTCATTTTTTTCAAAGAATCCAAATAAGTCTTAGGGGGCTGACTTTCAAGTTCTGCATTTAAAGTATTTGAAGTCAAGTCAACAATTTGCTTATAAAATTTGAACCAAAAATATCAAATATAAATGCAATATAACCTTACAGAAATGTTGGTTCACCGAACATACAGACCTTTTCAGTTATGGATAGATAATTACTAGGTGAAAACATTTTTTTTTAAAAAAAGTTTCTTGTGGAGAATGTACAGAAACCAACTCCTAAAAATCTTGCAAAACCAGTGAATAATGTGTAACAGGACTCCAGTACATGTTAGATTAAACTTATCCGCAGCCAACATTCTCCTCCCAACAAGAGACAAGAGGAATTATAATCTCGAAGCAACCAAGTTGGGGAAGGCTGATGCACAATGTAATACTGATATTTCTTTATCTATAATTCAAAATACAATGTAGCTATACGACAGCTGGAATCACATAAGGTTGGAATCTATCAATGCAAATGTTGTGTGAGAAGCCAAAGAATTTTTGTCCATGAATATAAATCAGACCAATTAAGATGTTGATTCCAAAAGTTCTCAGCTGCACTGTGAATCCCTGCCGAACAGTATATACTAGATCTACATTTTAAAGACTAATTGTTTGGATGGTTGATGTCAAATATGGTTGCAGGCGGTCTTGCTGATGTGTCTCTTCTATGCCTTTTCACTATAAATAGCTATTTATGATGTGTCACTGCTCTGTTTAATTCAGTTCTGAATGTGTGCTAATACTGCTAGGATTTGTTTATGGTACAGAATTGCTCACAGAACTTGTCACGCCCGGCTTCCCTGGCACTTGTTTGCAGCTAGCATTGGAAGAAACATCTGTAGCATTGGTCATTTACACAAATGTTAACCAAGTCTCATAGTTATGTCTACTTGACCTGTTTATCTATTGCAACTGAGCGAGTTAGTGGCTGTATCCTGAGTAATGAATTCAGATTTAAACTTTCCATACTTTTCTTCCTCTTCATTTTTCCTTCAGAATTGTTGAAATGAAAAGATGTTTCAATAGTTTATCTTTGGTGTGACAGGTTATAACAGAGCATTATGATAAGAGGATTCCATGTAGTTTCTTGTTGATTATATGGAAAGTTGAAGTTCACTTTGTTAAATTATAATGTCCACCTTCTGCTATTTATAAAAATCAATATCCAGTTAATAATTCAGATGCACTGCTGCATAATTTTTTATACTTTCTTTTCTTTTTTTAACTTTAGCTCAATCCAGGATTCTATTTTCCTGGAAGTATACATAAGAAATTAAACCCATTGAGGATTATCAGTTTCATTTTTATATTTTTGATATAAAATATTTAAAATATACTTTAGAGGTGAGTTGTTTTGCTTTTGTTGTTCTATCTGTATACTATAAACATACCTTGTGCATTCATCTAATATAATAACTTAATTAGGATACATATAAGTTTTTTGGAGGGGAGCCAGTTTGGTATAGTGACTAAGGTTAATATTAGCAACCTATAATAAGGATAAAAAGGCAGCTAATCCACAAATGAAAATCAATACAGTGGGAGGAATCGAGGTGTTCTCTTCCACAAGCAGGAGATTCTGTGACCGGAACCCTTCTTCCTTTCATAGAAAAAGAAAGCATTTGCATCTAACCGAGCCTTAAAAAAATCTATAGGATATTGCAAGCACAGTCAAGCTCCATGAAAGAAAAGCTGTCTAGACCAAAGGCAGCACTGAGCAGTAATAACTTCAAGCATGTTGACATTTGGGTTTTACCAGAATGTTTTATTAACACTGACATTTTCTGTGTTTATTGCTGATTTTAAGTAATACTTTTTATATATGTGATTTTGTTTAGTTGCCCAAGGCAGGCATCTAGTCTGGCAGGGTATACATTAAGCCATCATAACGAATGAAGTTACTTAAGACTTTCTATTCAAGGGCAACAAAAGGGAAGACAGTTCTTGTATTTTAGACATACCGGATGGCTTGACAGATTAAACTCTGACAGTCTGACTAAAGAGAAAAATGCATAGTAGAACACAGAACACAAAAGTAAACCTCACCACTTTAGACTGTCATCTTTATTCCACTCTGTCTAAGCCCTTCAAGCATACCAAAGGGGTGACCTGACCTTGGAACCAATACAATCAAAAGAAAAATGAGAATCTTTTAAGTAATTTTATAGATAAGGACAGGCATATGTTTTGACATCACCTAGGAAATTCAATATACTCTCTATCTTTTCACCTGCCTTTGGAATGATTTATTTGATTGATTGATTGATTGATTGATTGATTGATTCATTCATTCATTCATTCATTCATTCATTCATTCATTCATTCATTCCAGAAAGCCCCAATCTAGATGATGCTGGGGTGGTGAAGAAAGTATTTCTAATATTATCAAAAGAAAAAAGCCAAGCTGCTACTTCTTTGCTTTTAAGGAATTACAAACTTACATTATGCTTTTGGTTATTTATGTAGTGTTTGCCAAAATCTAAGATGATAGCAGCCCCAGTTCTGAGGCTTCTGCTCCTAGCAAAACCAGAAATGTAAGATGAAACAAAGGAGAGGACAGGGGATTTTATATGAAATAAAAGCACACCTCTCTTCAGCCTCTGTAGAAAAAGTTCTAGTTCCTGCTGGGCAGAACTGAAGCGGCTGTTCAAAGAGCAAAAGCTATCTTCAATGAAGTCTGGAGCAGCAGGATGAGATGTCAGCTCCTTGCACTTGATCTTCAGATGTTCCATTTGAGGAGTCAGACTTAAGAAGTTTGTGAGTTCCCTCTAGGAAAGACAGGGATATTCACACAGGTGCCAACATTTATTACCTACTTACAACATTTTTAAAGAGCCCAAGAACCTCAGTTCTTTGGGCAGTTTATAAATGTGATTAAAATTACAATATATAATAATAAAAACAGCAACAAGTGTTTAGGTAAAAACAGCAATCATCATCACCATCATCGTCATGACAGTATAATAACAAAAGCAAATAAAACCACAGCAAAACAACATTCATTAAGTCTGAAATAGATTCCTAAAATGGCTAGAAAAATACTATAGTCCATCTAATGCTAGAAAGACCATAATATAAGCTCCAGAGAAACCTCTCTAAGGAGAACATTCCACAGATGGAGTACCACAATGGAAAAAGCCTGTTCTCTTAGAGCCATCTTGCCTCACCTACCTGAACAAACCTTTTCAAGATCATCTTCAAGTCCAGGCACATAAATATTGGAGAAAATTACCAGTAGCCTAGCCACAAGCTGTTTAAAGCATTTTAGATTAAAATAAACCTTTGAACTGAGTTCTGAAATGAGCTGGCAACCAAAGTATAATGGCATAATGTAATCATATCAGCTGGTCTCAGCAGTCTAGCCACTCTGTTGTGCACCAATTAATTTCTAGATGGTTTTTAAAAGCAACCTCATATACATTATATTGCAATAATCCAAGCAAATTAGAGCGTAACTTGGTAAGACAGGTGGAGACCATTTGGTTGGAGGGGAACAAATATAATTAAAATAATATTTCTTCTCCCAATCAGCTAGTTACTCCCTCAATGCCATATCTCTCTAACCAAGTTGAACCATCAACAGCTGTATTCTAGTACTATAGGTTAAACATAAATAATTGTATTTTATGTACCAAGCAGAGAACAAGGCTGTCAAACTTACCTGATACAACTCCTGTAGAGCTGCTAATGGTTGCTGCTGAGCTGTTGCAGAACTGTCTTGCAGCCATGCTTCTTTTTCACTCACAGACTTATCAAGCTTGCCCAATTCACTAAAGTAAATATTGATTTCTTCCTGATATTGCACTTTTCTTGCTACTTCTTCCAAATAGCAAGCAGCCCCTTTCCATTCTGCCAAGAGCTTCTTAAGGGCATTGGCTGTATCTTCAGTAGGAAGCCCCTCTGAACAAAGGGAAGGAATCAGTTGTGCAAAATGCAATGCATGGAAAATTTTATTTCAGCTATATTCCACATATAAATGCTAAGTCAGGGTTTTGAGCCCCAGTTTGTGATGGGTTGGTTCACACATCATTCTAAGCTACAATGGGCCAGTTCATACACTAAGACCAAAACAAAACACATTATGGCTGAGCATCATGCATAGGGGCAGGCTAAACAATATCCTTTTCATAAAGCATATTGATATTTTGCAACCATCATTTAACACTTGGATTCATTTCTTAGTGAAAAGGACAAAAGCATACTAAAAAAAATCTACGTAACTATACCTTTGCATTAAGAAAATATATGAAAACTGAAGACTGATCAACAGGATGAATCACATGAATATTAGCAAGGGAAAAAAGTCACAAACCTTTTCCCTATTAGGCATCTATTCTCTATATTAATCTGTGGTCTGGAGATACATGATGCAGTTTTACTGCTGAAGTCCTCTAATTAGTTTAGTTAAAAACCATATAGTATTAGCAAAAATTATGTGACTGCCTAAATTTCCTAAAAATCCTGCTTTCTCCTGCAACATCATAGCACTACTTGAGTCAATTGCTTCATCCTGCTGTATGGCTGGTTCCTTCCTATTATATGCATGCTGTTCTGAACAGCTTGAAGGAAGAACACAGCTTGAGAATGAGGAACCTTAGCTGAACTCCAGGTGTTACTGAAGTAAAACTCGCAGAATCCCTCACCTCTGACCATGCTAATGGGCTTGCTGGAAGTTGTAGTTTGTCAATATCTGGGTGGGTCCACAAATTCCCAACCCTGGTTTAAGCATAATGATTGAATACCTATTACAATATGTGCTGGAAGACGAAAAACAAGAGTGAATGGTTTATTGTTAAAATTCACTTTCACTAAGTTTTTTTTTTCCAAAACGAAGTTAAAGATACAAAACTTCAATGAATTTACATTCATTATTGTATTATCTTTAAGGCCATGCCTTCTTAAAATTGACAGGACAATTTTCATTACAGTCAATTAAAACTACTACAGCAATGCAGGCTTTCATGGCCAGTGTCAGTCCAGTGGTGATGAGCTTCTGAACTAATAAGCTGTGGTCTAATTATCTGGTATCTGACATTTTGCCAGCAATTGTGCCTGGCATCTTCAGAGGTGAAAGTGGTCTGCTCTGTAGCACACTTCTTGGCAGATCCAATTAGAGTTTAGTTTTATAACAAACACAAAAGCTTAGTCAGTTCCTGCTCAGCTGCCTGTGAGCTGTTGAGGTGTGTGCTACAGAGCAGATCACTTTCACCTCTGAAGATGCCAGGCACAGTTACTGGCAAACATCAGGATACCAGATAATTAGAACACAGTCTATAGCCTGGAAGCTCCTAATTACAACTAGTACTGTCACAAACTTCCATTATCATAAATTCAGATGGATTTGTACCTTCTAGGAATTCCAAATATTAAGAAGAGAAAGTAATTGAAAAAAACACGTGCTTCCCTTCCATTATATGCTAACATTACCTTTTCCCATTTGGTCCAGCAGATTATCTCCAGTCTGATTCACTTCATTCAATGTTTTCTCTTTTTCCACTCTTTCTTTTTTTATTGCCTGTCAATCAAAGCCATGAAACTTAAAGTGAAAACCTAAACATTTAAAAATTTCCACTGAACAAAGTTGAGCCTTCTTCTGGTTGTGTAATTAGCAACAAGTAATTCTAACTATTCAGTAGAATTACACTATTAAATGCTAAGCCAGATGAGGGTGCAATAATATCAAAACTCCTTCCACTTAGATCGTATTTTCATGAAATAATCATACATCACAAGCTGTAAATTAATTAAGTCTTTAAACACAATAACCCTCCAGATACTTACATCTTTTTGAACGACTTACTGGAATGTGAAACTCCACTGTCAGCCAGTTATCACTTACTAAATAATCTTTACTTAAACTGAACATTGTGTCCCCAGATTAGTCACTGACTTTTCTGTCTCTTTGGTGATACTGAGACATGCAAATGAAATCAGGGCGACCGAAAACTTAAATGAGTCTTTGTAAAATAATGTGTCAGGATCCTTGTATGCAGAGTATTCTGGTTTATGGAAAAGAATCCATTAAACTTAAGAAGTATCAAATCCTCTGGATGTACCCTCCAAATATATATTAGTGAAGCAGCAAGTAACTTGACTCTTTTAATAGCAACATTCCAGATCACAATTTTTCACAAGGTGTAACTGCTATGATAAAGTTAAAGATTTTTAGAAATTATCCAAGTGATTTTTTTTCCTATTTGCATTTAGGATTAAACAAAAGAAACCCCCCTCCCCATTATGGGCCATAAACAACTCTATGCTATCTGACAATATTTCACATAGGATGTACTTACAGGTATTGCTGTGGTGATATTCTTAATTAAGAATTTAAAATTAACTTAAAACAATATTGCCAAAGTTTCCATTTTTTATCTCTTCTCTCCATAGGGTGGACCAGAAGGTTATTAGCTGTCTTTATTGGGCTGAAATCATGACTTTACCTTATTCTCTGTTTTACTGAGAGAATTTCTGCAGACTCCATATTTAAGAACAAGATTTTCTTTAAAAATGTATTTCCTTTTTCAAAGTAAAAAGGGAATTCAATACAAGGGAAGAAAACTGGAGGAAGCTGGAAATGCCTATTCAACCTCTAAGCATTGCCCACCACTAGTAAAAGGGCACTGCTTGTAGCCAGTAGAAAATAATTATGTTAGCCAAAAAGATATTTAGAAACAGAATTCAATCTAGAGGAAACTTTCTTATCAGACTCTACATCCAGCTGTTAGCAGGTTTAAATTGGCAAGACAATTTATTCACTGAAAATGCCTTCCCATTTTTCTCTTTACCTTCAGTTTTTCTTTCATGCCTGAAGTCTCTCTCATCTTCTTGTATTCTTTGATCTCTATGGCCTGAATGGCAGCTTTTGATTTCAAAATTTCATTCAACAACTCAGCAATTTCAACATCAAGCCTAATGTAAGAAGCAGAATAATGTTCGAAATGATTTCTCCTCCCATTCAAAACTCAAAGATGTTAAATAATACTTTAATCATCTTTCCCCTCCCCAACCTTCCAGTTAAACCATTAGCTTTTGTCTAAAGTGTATTCTTCCATTTATTAAAAGTCACAGGCTCACTAACATACAAAGTTCCATAGTAACCTATCTCAGAAGCTTCAAGGAACCTTAGTGAAGTCTTTACTAGGCAGGAGAAAAACATTTTGCCTTGAAGAAAATAGTTACACTCTCACTTTGATTCTCCACTCTTCTGTTCCTCACCCTAAAAGTAGCTTCCTCAACTTGCTGCCTCCTTCAAATAGACAGGCCTGAGATTCCGATAAGTTCCAACCATTATAATGGGAGGAAAGGGAGGGAGAGACACCATATTCAAACAGGCTGATCCAGATATTGGCAGGCCAAGAGAGGGCAAGTACAGAAACTATTGTAAGTTTCTCTTATTTTCCTGAAAAATGGTGGCAAGGAGATACTTACAGCTGTTATTGCACTAGCCCTCATCCTCATGGCCAAAGAAGGTGGCTGCACTTCAAAATTGGGGGGAACCACACTCAGAGAAGCAATGAGAAAGAGGACATCCATTAAAGGCTTGAAACAGCCTGTCCGGTGCTCCCTCCCCACTGCCAATCCTATTGTGACTAACTGCTTTCAACACATGCATCTGGAGAATAACCTGAGGTACACACTGAGCTAAGCCTTGGTTTTCTTAACCCTGATTAGCTGAATTAACTGAGTTAACTCACCACACTAAGCCATAAGTCCTAGTTTACAAACCACAAGGAGTGGCTTCATATAACACACTAGGCAAAAAGAAGTGTATCACACAGCGGCCACACACAGTGTGTGAACCCAGTGAATACAGAAATGGAGCAGCCTATGAGGGGAAGTATGAAATAAATGGCTTTGCAAGCATAGAAAATACATTTTGATAGTGATGTTGCCCTATGCTGAGTGAGAAAAGAATGATGTTACCGGCCTGAGAAGGTGTCTTACTTTTTTCTCATTTCAGGATCCAGGCCAGCTTGCCGCCTCCTTGGTAGAGGCGGAGGAGACTGTTCTGTTTGGAAATCCTGGGCTGTTCTTTGTTCTTTGACCAGGGTTGTTTCAGGGAAGACAGTCTGAGAAATCTGGGGCATCCCAACTTTTGCAACTGCCTCAGTAACCTAAAAGGACAATGCAGACAGGGATCAGCCTTGATCAAGTGAAGCAGTAAAAAAATTCAAGGAATGAATGACAACTTTAAATTGCAAATGCAATTAACGGAAGCACAACATTCATATCTTAATGAAGCCCGCTTGAAAACCATAATAAGAAGGTAGTAGTTCTATGATACCTGATTAGAGTAATCCTCAAGCTTCTGAACTAAGTTGTCCCATCTCTGTGTTAGTTCTTCAAGATTACTGTCAATTTTTTTTAATGCCTTCTTGTTGTTTAGGAGCTGTGCCAAATCCTGGGCCATCTCGTTCAGCTGCTCTAACATCTGGCGCTTCTTTCCCATGTCTTCTTTCAGACTCTGACAGTGAAACAACAATAGCTATGCCATTCTAGACAAATGTCTTTTGCTCAGATTTCCCACAGGGAGACTTATTTTCTTAGAAAATAGGGAAATACTGTAAATCTAAAACATGTTACTAAAGAGTAGGAATCATGGACAAAAAAAGATGAGTTTCCAGAACATTCATAACAATTCTACTGGAGACTGTTTATTTTGAATACTTGCTAGAACAGCCTCCCTCAACCTGTTTTCCAGATGGGCTGTACTCCCTAAACCCCAATCAACATGCTGAGAATAGGGTAACTGAAGCCCAATACAGATAGTCCTCACTTACTGACTGCAATTGGGACTGGCAACTCTGTCACTAAGCAACGCAGTTGTAAAATGAAATGTGACCACACCCAACTTTTGACATCAGTTTTGGCTGCAGTCATTAAGCAAATCACCATGGTCATTAAGCACATCATGTGACCACAACTTGTGACTTCCTGCCAGCTTCCCCGTTGACTTTGCTTGTCAGAAGCCAGCTGTGAAGGTTGCAAATGGAAATCACATGACCGCGGGACACTGCGACCATCATAAATGCACACGGGTTGCCAAACACCCAAATCGCAGTCACATGACCATGGGGATGCTGCAACGGCCACAAGTTCGAGGTCTGATCATCTCTTTTTTCAGGGCCATCGTAACTTTGAACGGTTGCTGAACGAGGCAGTCAATAAGTAAGGACTACCTGTATATCTGGAGAATAGCAGGTTGGGAACGATAAGGCTGAAATGTTATTTTCAGTGATAACAGAAGTAATATGTTCCAAGCTGCTATCACAATTTAGAGGTTTCACTACATTCCAGGAACCTTGGAAATACAGTATTGGTAGAATTTCCCACATAAGAGAGAGCCAGTTTGGTCTAGTGGTTAAGGCACCAGGCTAGAAAGCACGAGACTGTGAGTTCTAGTTCTGGCTTAGGCATGAAAGCCAGCTGGGTGACTTTGGGCCAGTCGCTCTCTCTCAGCCCAACTCACCTCACAGTGTTGTTGTTGTGGGGAAAATAGGAGAAGGAAGGAGTATTAGATATGTTTGCCGCCTTGAGTTATTATTTTTATAATATAACAACAACACCACCACCACCATCAAACAACATCATCTGCCTATCCCAGGTCCTTGGGAAGGACCCGATAAGTGGATAAAAATGTCAAATACAGTCTAAACATCCAGCTGACTGTGCGACCAGCCATAATAATACGGAAGGCAGGATAAAAAAAATCTAGAGAGAGAGAGAGAGGGAGAGGGAGAGGGGGAGGGAGAGGGAGAGGGGGAGGGGGGAGAGAGAGAGAGAGAGAGAGGGGTTGCCATTTAAAACACTATGGGTAATATCACTAGAGGCATTCCTTGAGTGAAAACCGAAATTGCTTCAGAGCATGGGAAAGTTCTTCATCACAAGCTATGCCTGCAATAGACATGATCTATGCCTTACTTTTCTATCATATATATATATATTGGAATAACTGTCAGTTTCCCAAGGAATTGATTGCTATCATTCACCTAGCCCTTTCCATTTTCTTTTCAAAAAGGAAGTATAAAATCAAAATAATTGCATCTTGACCTATTCCAATCATCCTTGCTTTAAGTATGTATCATTTTCACTCTACCTAAGATGTCACACTTTTTGAGAGTTACTTATCCCTCTCAGATAATTTAATGCACTGTAAAAACTATACTGCATCCTTTAGCTCAGGGTAAAACCCATATCTTTAGAAAGTAATTTTGGAAATTTGCTGGACTGTGAAATTTGTACTAGGATAGGACAGTGATGATCCCCCAGCAATGCAGAGGGCAAATTGGCCACGGGACAAAGACACAGCCTGAGAAAGCCTTATCTAGGGTGCAAAGCCAGTAATACTCACGGCCATCTTTCGAACATTTGCACCAAGCTCTGTTTGATCTTTGAAGTTGCATGTTTGTATTCTGCTTAAAGCCTCTTCTTTTTCAACCAACCAGGCTTTCAACATGCACTGATGAAAAAAGTACACCACAAACATACTTACTCAAATCCCCTACGTTTTATACAGCACCACCACTGCATCATACACAAACAACACCCCAGGATCATAACAATAATCAGACTGCCTTGTAAGCTACAATCACACAAAGTTATGGGTTGTTTTCCATTTTCAACATAAATGGATGTTATGCTACATGCAGCAGCCACGATTGGGTAGGAATGTCTTACAGGTCAATTGCTAGATATTCATGAGATAATAATAGCATCAAATCCAAGCAAAACAAAAATTGTGACAGATATCATTCAGAGAAACCAAAATGAACCCCCCAAATATTAACCCTGTGAATTCTGCTCTGTTTATTCCCACCCAACAGAAAAAGGGGGTCAGTGTTAAACTTCAGTAAATCTTAATTTCCATGGGTGAGATTGAGTAAGTCATAATTTCCCTTAGCTGCTTTGCCACTTTGAAGACATACAGGACAAAAATGTACATGGGAGGAAAAGGAAAACGGGTAAGATTATAAAAATAAACATAAGAGGGATAATCAGAGGTAAGAAGCAGATTTATTGTACATCTCAAGACCACACCTTTTATTTTCTATAAACCTATATAAGCAAATGTTTTCTTCCCCCATACATCAGAAAATAATACACTGCTTTTTTGAACCAAGTTATGGCAAGGATCAGTCTGTTTTCCAGCCTAGTGCTGGTTGGCCCAGCCTTTCCAAACACTATTTTTTAAAATTATTAACCCTAAACTTAACCCTAAACTTATCTATAGTCATTCAATTAGTTCTGTTTGATCTTCACATTATTTATAGCAGGAGAGACAGGATATGAAACTATCTTCTACTGTAGTAACATTATTCACACCGTTCTGCTATAAAGGATAATGTTCAGGTACTTCCCGTTTAATTCAGTTCTTCTGTGGTCATCATTTTTGGTAGCTGGATATGATTTATACCCAACATATAGATTCATATAGACAGCTAAGCTGCTACTTTTTCTCATCTAACATGTGGAGGTAGCCAGTCACTGACAGTAAACAAAACAAACAGCTTTAGACACTATAAATTTTACTCAATCATAAATACCATTATTTGATGCAATTTTCTGAAATAGAAACTATGTTTTTATCAAGTTGGCCAAACCATCCCCCATGGTGATCATTTTATGCATTTCAGTACTGTTCAGTTCAGGTGTTTGGATTAGGAACAGGGAAAACCAGATTGAAACCCACCCTACGCAATGGAAGTTCACTTCGGGCCACTCACTCTTACTCCAAGTACCACACAAGGTGGTAGTTAAAATGGGGAAAAAATGGAGGAGAGATTGATATGTACAGCTCCTGGAGAAGAGGCAGGATAGAATTCTAATTAATAAATAATAAATAAGGGCACTAATAATAAAATGGTAGGGTTTTGAAAAAAAAACATGTTGATGGGAAAATATATAATTTCTTAAAACGTCCTTACATTTAAATGTTCTTGAAAACTGGCAGAACTGTTTAACCCCCATTTGTTCTAATGAGTCTCAACAATGCTATTCTTTTTTTAAAAAAGAATATATCTCAAAAGTGAACTAGGGCCTCAAAAACCACTTAAAGTTTTTAGAGGACAAAAATAGGCTTCCTATCATCCTATAGAGTTAACAGTTTATCTCTGACCTAATAGATTCATTTTGTCTGGTTCAGATGAAAACTACAGCTTACTTTTACACCTGAATAAGGGCATAGCTTCAGGAGATATAAAAGAAAATCAATCCCTTTTCGAGATTTTTTAATGTACAGTATCTAAAGCTAAAAGTTAATAGAGGTAGTCCTTGTTTGACGACCCTCGTTCAGTGACTGTTCAAATTTATGACAGCGCTGAACGAATAGTATTTACAATTGGTACTCAAAGTTCTGGCAGTCCCAGTGCCCCCGTGGTCATGTGATCGCAATCTGGGCGCCTGGCAACCCGAAGTCACGTGATCACCATTTGCAACCTTCCCTGCTGGCTTCCCACAAGCAAAGTCAATGGGAAGCCAGCAGGAAAGGTCACAAGTCACTCCAGTAAGTTGCTCACACCCTCCAGCAGCACCAGCACCAGCCAGCAGCACCAGCACCAGCCCCACTGTGTTCGTGCCATGCCTTACCTGCCAGCTGGCCTGCTTACAAGCCATCTGGACCTTGCTTACCGACCTGTGATCCTTGCTTACCGACGGCAATGGGGATTGCCGTCGCTAACCAAAGCAGTCACATGACATTGCGCTTCACAACCACATCACTTAGCAATGGAAAATTCAGTCCCAATTACCTTCGCTAATCAAGGACTACCTGTAACCATAATTTCTCTTTTAAGGAAACGCTACACTAAGTACGGAGCCAAATTTGACCAGGAAAAATGGAAAAGCTAAAGCAAATGTATCATTGTAAAAAATCATTAGAAATTGGCCTTAAATAACTGCCAAAAATTTTACCAGGTAACAGCCAACCATTTTGAATATTTTATTTATTTATTTGTTTATTTATTCATTCATTCATGTGTCACATTTATATAGCCGCTCATCTCGCACAAAGTGACTCTGGGTGGCATACAACAATTAAATAAATTAACAAGTGAATAAAACAAGCATTATAAAAAAATTAAGTTATTATTAAAATAAAAACATTATCACAAATTTTTAAAAATTTAGATTTTAAACTATACAAACCCCACAGAGAGAGCAGAATACCAATTACAGTGGAGCCATCTAAGAATGTCTCCAGTTCCCAAAGACCTCCAGGCCTGATGACACAACCAGGTCTTGAGGGACAGCGACATCAGGGAAGGGGTGAGCCTCACTTCAGGAGGGAGAATGTTCCACAAGGAATGAGCCACAACAGAAAAGGCCCGCCTCTTGGGACCCACCAAACGCAAGTCCCTGGCCAATGGAACACATAGTATACCTTCCCTGGTGATCAGGGTGAGACGGTCCCTCAGATAACCTGGCCCAGTGCCATGAAAGGCTTTAAAGGTCAAAAACAGCACCTTGAATTGGACCCAGAAGCAAACCAGCAGCCAATGCAACTCACGAAGCACAGGTGTAATATGTTCTCTTCTAGAAGCACAAATAACTGCCTGCGCTGCCACATTCTGCACCAGTTGAAGCTTCCAGATACTTTTCAAGGGCAGCCCCATGTAGAGTGCATTACAGTAGTCCAATCTGGAGGTGACTAGGGCATGAGTGACTGTGAGCAGAGCCTCCCAATCCATGGAAGGGCACAACTGGCGCATAACAAGGAGTTGTGCAAAGGCCCTCCTCTTCAAGCAGGAGTCACGAGTCTAGGAGGACCCCCAAATTGCACACCAGATCTGTCTGGAGCAGTGCCACCCCATCTAGCACTAAAGATGGTATAGTTCCAGAACCAGCAGGACCCTAGACCCAAAGCCACTCAGTCTTTCCAGGGTTCAGTTGAAGCCTGTTGTTCCCCATCCAGACCCTCACAGCCTCCAGACACCGGGATAAGGCATCCACAGCATCGTTTAATTTACCAGGGGTAGAGATGTATAGTTGGGTATCATCAGCATATCACCCAGAAGTCTCATGCAGATACCCTCATGTAGATACTAAATAGGAGAGGAGAGAGCACCAAACCCTGCGGCACCCCACACAGTAGGGGCCGAGGGTGGGACCTCTCCCCCCCAATCATCACTGACTAGAGTTGACCCTGGAGAAAGGAAGCAAACCAGCACAGCACTATGCCACCCACCCCTAGTCCCCTGAGCTGATCCAGAAGGATACCATGGTCAGTGATATCAAAAGCCGCTGAGAGGTCAAGAAAGGCAAAGATAGATACACAATCTCCATTCAGCTCATGCCAGAGATCATCCAGAAGTCCAACCAATGCAGTTTCTGTCCCATACCCAAGTCTGAATCCAGACTGAAAGGGATCCAGCTAATCCACTTCATCCAAGGCCCTCTGAAGCTGTTGTGCAACCACCTTCTCAACCACCTTACCCAAAAAAGGGAGGTTAGATACTGGATGAAAGTTGTCCAATATGGTGGGATCTAGCAACGGTTTCTTGAGGAGAGGGCGCACCAGAGCCTCTTTAAGAGGCAACAGAACCCCTTCCCTCAAAGAAGAATTAACCACCACTAATGGGTCCAGCCTCCCTGAAGTGGTTAGTGGCACTAGAGAATCCCATGGAAATCAGGGCGTGATCTGACCATGACAAGGGAGACACCAAAAGCTCCCCCAATTTCAGATTATGTAGCTACTGCTCTGACAGGAACACTGAATCCAGATGTGACCACTGTCCCATGTTAGGCTCTGGATGACCTGGGATAGGCCCATGGCCATCATAGTAGCCATGAAGTCCTGAACCACCTCAGATCCCACTCCAAGAGAAGGCAGATTGAAGTCCCCCAGAACCATAGGTCTGGGGAACTCCACTGCCAACCCTGAGGTGGAGTCAAGGAGCTCAGCAAGGAGGCTGCTATACAGCAAGGAGGCTGGTAGAACAGCAACAGTTCCAACTGATCCCTAGAGCTCAACCTAAGGAACAGAGTCTCACATCCGGGGACCTGTGGGACAGCATTCCTGAAAGCCATAAGAGATTCCCGGATGACAATCACCACACCCCTACCCCTGCTCCAGAGTCTCGGCTCATGCCACACCCAACCCCCCCCCCCCCTCCCCAGGGCCTCGGCCCCCACCCCACCCACCCCCCCCCCCCCCTTCCAGTTAAGATGGCAGAGAGAGAGGAAGCTGCTGTTGGGCTGTCCGGAATGTTGTTGCTTGCTGTTTGTGCTTTGAGGATGCTGTTGAGGGTGTTTGGTTCTATCTGGGCTGGAGAGAGGCAGCACGAATCGGACAAGTAGAGCTGGAGAGGAACGGAATGAAGCAGAGCAGAGGACAGCCGTGCCTGTCGGTTGCCACACTTGCCGCTTTATGGCATTTTGCAGCATTTTGGGATGTTTGGCTGGCCATGTTTTTTGTGCTGCCCATTTGGGGCATGTCAGACTGGATGGTGGCTTCCTGGATTGGTCAGTGGCTTGTTTGAACTGGGCTGCTTGTTGAACTTTGCAACGTTTTTTAGTGGCTCTCTGAAAGACTGGGCTGCGGAGTGGGCTGGAGGACAGATGGACCACACTGGGCTGGACTTCCTTTTGGTTTGCTTTCACAGCTGATCTCATGCTTGCTCTGCTGTCAGGTTTATGGACTTAGCTGTGCCTGGTACCTGATTCAGCTGTTTGGCTGCGCGGAGATGGTCCTGCTTTGCTGCAGGCAGGCGCTGCTGGATGCTTCTGCTATTGACTATCCCTTCCTGTATTGCTTCCTTTCGTTTGTCATTGGGGTTTGGAGGTGTGGGTGGTGGTTGGGTGGGGGGGAGGTTACAATAGAATGGCAGGCTGCTGTGGACCCCTTCCCCCTGGGGAAGCCACTTGCCTTCCCCCCACCAAGTTAGCCCTGTATAGGAAGGCACTGAGGAAGGAAGAAGAAAGCAACCTGGCCCCATCTCCTGGCTGAGTCTGGATGTTAGTCCTCCTTCTGGGTGAGAGCCAGAGAGAAAATTGGTAGGGAATGATTGGAAGAGAACCCATTACTGTTGAGAGCAACGGGGTGGGCTCTTGTGATTGTTAGATTGAATGAATGTGTTGTTTTGTGTGAGTGTTGTAGTGAGTGAGGAGGCGGCGAATGAGAACCCTGTTGGCGCTGAGACCTTGTGTAGCTAAAGTACCTTGGGGTGCCTGGCTTCTCCTCCCAGGTATGTTTGAGGAGGACGCTAGGAGGTTCCCAGTCTTGGTGGGCCCGGGGATGGGGATGGGAGCGGGGTGGAGGTGAGTCATAATATAAGGGTGATGACAGGCACGGGGAGATATGGTGGGAGACAGGCAGCGGGCCATTCCAGGGTATTCCCCGGTACCCTGTCAGCGGACCTTCAGTGGCCCTGGCCTCAGGCTGCTGCTACTGAACACCAGGTAGGTCTGCAATAAGGCTTCCCTCGTTCATGATTTAATCATTGATGAGAGGGCTGACCTGACATGCAGTACCGAAATCTGGCTGGGTCCAGAAGGGGGGGTGGCCAAGATTACCAGCAAGTTATGATTGTTCAACTATTTTTTTAATCTCTTAGTAAAAATAATTGTTCTGAAAAAATTTCCATAACCCTCTCAGTATGTTAAAATGGCCCAAGATATAAATTTTTTAAAATAAATGCTTAACCTGATCTTCCAACAATTCTTGCCACAAGATATTAATCTCTTGTAATTTGAGCCATCGTTCCTCAGTCCAACGGCAAACCGCTGTCCAGCGCTCACCAAGTCTCTGGAAATAACAAAAAAAAAAGTCTGACTTTACATATTCTTCTTTGAAAGCAGACAAAAAATCCAAATTAATAGAATTATAACTATTTAAAATTTTGTATTATTTTTGATACCAAAATACTAACTTTGGAAGGGGCCCCTCAATTAAGATCAGATCTAAGGAATAACTTCTTAGTATTCAACTGGGCTAAAATGTTTGAAAGATTCTAATAATCAGCCTAAGCTACTGGACAGAATCTAGATTTATGGACATTTATTTAATTTCAACAGGATTTAAATACAGTAAAACTGAGCTGTGCAACTTTGAAGGATTTCTGAAGGTTATTCAGCACACACCTGTCAGCATCTCCCTAAACCAACTTTGCTTTTTCCCATATCACACTGCATATACAATCCTGCAAAAAGATAGAGTTTCCTGAAATAATTGCTAACAGGTGCTACTCAAATGTTCCTGTATGCTCCAATCATCTTTTTCCATTCTAATCTGGATACCTGCTCAGTCCTTCAGTAATTCTTCATTTTTTTGTTCAATGATGGCCAACTTCTGGAAACTTTGCAACCATATTTGATACATATCCATCACATCATTCCCTTTCAAGGTAAACTACATATAATTTGACTGCCACTCTAAACATCACTCAACATACATGCATTCCTAAGATATTTTTGAATTGTCACAAGTAAATATTCTGCTTATACTTAAAAAATGAACATCTAAGCATCTTGAACAAGTAGAATTTATAACAATGCTGAATAGTTCATGCTGTGCAATTCACAGATGTATTATTATGTATCAGAATTAAGATCTGACAGAAAACTCGCCACAGTTAAAATCTGAACTATATTTTTTTCTAAAACACATAAGTTTTTACTGCTGTGGACTGTTTTTGGAATTATGAAAATACAAGTTCTATTTAACCAGGCTTGCATGATTCCACATCTGCATAAGAAGGCCTGTATTTCTTCAAGAATTAATATTTATTGATTGATTGATTTGATTTGATTTATATAGCCATCCATCTCACATATGTGTCTCTGTGCAGCTTACAATAAAATAGATAAAAAACAAATAAAATACATAATATAAAATAAAACACACAGCCAAGCATCGCAAAATAGCCTTTGACAAAGCCAAGAGATGGGCTGTATCACACTTCTAGGGCCCCAGGCCCGAGCACAAAACCATGTTTTTAGGGCCTTGCGAGAGCCCAGCAAGGTCAGGGCTAACCTAATCTCAGGTAGAATGATGTTCCACAGGGCAGCCACCTTGGCAGAAAAGTGCCTCCTCCTGGGCTCCACCAGCCAACACTACTTAGCCAGCATCACCCAGAGCATGCCCCTCCTGCTGGACCAGGTGGGATGGGCAGAAACAATTGGGGAGAGTACAAACAATCAACATAATGGACCCCATAACTGCTGCAACCTATTCATCTACTGTGAATACCTACTGAGGTTTGTAACACTAAGATGACAAGCAAAGGTTGGTCCAGGGGGATCCAGGTTCAAATCTATCCTCAGTCATGAAAATTCACTGGGTGGTTTCAGGCTAGTCACTCTCAACCCAAGTGGGTTGCTATTGTGAGGATAAAAATGAAGACAGATCTCCAGGTAAGCCGCTCTCAGCTCCTGGGAAAGGCAGGAAATAAATCTAACAAATAGATACATAAAACATGTTCAAAAGCATTCACCTACATCAGTGTTTCTCAACCTTGGCAACTTGAAGTCCACACATCTTCAAGTTGTCAAGGTTGAGAAACACTGGCCTACATGAATCCATTCAAAACGACTAGTATGGGATAGCACAAAATTATAACATTCACTCACTTGCAACTGATCCTCCAAGAGAGCTGTAGCACTCTCACCACTATTTTCATCAACAATGACCACCATGTGAGTCAACGAATTGACTTTAACCTGCTCTGCTTCAATATCTTTCTGGAGCCCCTGAAAGAATTGATTCCAGTGTTACAAAGATTAGATGCAGTGAAAGTTCAGAGACCAGAATGGAGAGCCACATTTTCTTAGTGTCAACATTCAAAATGGTCAGAAAATGCAATTTCCCTTCAACAAAAGCCTTTCTGCAAGGAAAATGTATATATCATATCACATTGCAGATAAATTATATAATAATTCTGCCAACTGTATCCAAGTGATTTAATGACTATATCCATTGCTCCGTTAATCTTCAAGGAAATCAAGAAACAACATAAGCTTCCAAACAAGTAATGCTGCTGAATTTCATTAACCACAGCATGATGTCACAGCATAAAGGAATCCAGGACTTATTTTAAAACATAACTTCCTATATTAACAATCCTAATTTAGTTATGACCAAGAAATTCCTGCAACCAAGGGTTTTTTCCCCTATCACGTGTGTAACAGAAAGGGGTAAAATACTTTATGTTCATCCATCTGTTGTTGAAAGGACTCCAAGTCTTCAACTAAGCACTGAGATTCCATCTTTCGAATGCGTTCTTCTGTAACAGTCAACCAGTCAGACAGCTGCTGCAACTGTTTCTTTTGTAGCTCCATCAGTGCATCATGGAGGCTGCCCAAGTCAAAAAAAGTAGTAAATCATCAAAAGTGCCCTGAATTCGCACTGTCTGACTAAGTGTAAACATAACATAAACAGGTGATTCTGTAACTCTAGCTTTCTGTGGAATGGACTAGTAAGCACGGTCCTACTGATCAAGCCTTATCAGTGACACAAACACTGTGTCATATCACAAACAAGTATATAATTAACATAAACAAATATGATCAGGATCAAATTACATATCTATGGGTGAAAGCAAATTCTATCCAAGGAACAGAATCTCTCCCAAACCTACTCCACAAGATTATTGAGGGTTCCTTCAGAGCAGATTACAAGGAGCACAGAGCTGCAGCGGAAGAGGAGAAGCTCCTGTTGTTCAAACATAATGTTCATTTTCCCAATTTCAAAGGATACTTTATGGTAAATAAATGACATGAATTCTGTAAATATCTACTTAGAGTTTTGTTGAGTTGTAACCTATCCTCTGGCATTAGGAATTATCCTAATAAAAGTTCCTTTCAGGAAAAAAAAAATTAGGATAGTTTTAAATTTACAATCAGAAATGGAAATGAATTTTCTCCCAAACAAAATGATCTAATAGTAATCTATAAAACTTTGCTTCTTTCCTGTTCTTTTCCATCCCCCATATCATGATGGTGTGGCTTAGTTTAGCTCACATGCTTTCTGCTTTGTTCTCTCCTCTATATCATGATCATGTGGCTTGGCTTATATGCTTAAACCATCTTACGTGGTACACTGCTTTTTGTTATCTCAAATTTTTGTTTGACATGCAACTTGAGACATATTTGCTAGTATATGGAAAATGTTAGATCCAGACCAGAAGCTCAATAATGTTTTGGTCTGGTATACTACAGTTCTGTGCTATCAACATACAATGATTGCTAAGTAAAGTTTTAGCATAATTGACCCTGACATCAGACTTCAGCTTAACAGATTCATGGTTGAGGTTTACCATGAGTTTTAGTTGATGGAATTATCGGCAGGAGGGATGGCTGACTGATAAGATAGTCCCTTGTTTATTTTTATGAGCATCTGGTTCTACTTTTAATGTTAATAAAGTACTTAATTTAGGAACCAAAATAAGTTTTAAGACCACACTAATGTATATACTGACCAAGAAACTGAAACACATTTTCAAACAGATCCTACTCATTACTTACTTTCCTCTTTACAAAGGTGATTTAGATGCCCCCCCCCAAAAATCAACATTAAAAAAAAAAAGTTTTGCCTTCAACACTGGGAACGGAGCTTAGCATATTACATCACAACTAGAAAACTAAACCATGTGTGTAAAGCATGTGTAAAGCGTGCCACTCACCGGGACTGTCGGTCCATACTTTCCACTCTAAGATCCTCCCATCTAGAATTCAACAAGTTCATTTGTTCCTGGATTTCATTTTCTTCTTCTTCTGAAAGATTGCCCTGCGCCATCAACTGATTACCAGCCTGAAGCACACTACCCACACTGCTCTGATGTGCTGTCAGCTCCATCATAAAAGCCTAGAAAAAGTTCAGATTAATGTGATCTAGAACAAACATTAGTTCAAACATTGCACTGATTGCCTGACATTTGCAAGCATAAATGTACTTTGCAACATTAAAGAATAAGCTGCAATTCTCAAAGATGCATAGCACACAGTAACAGCATCCAGGCAGAGAATGGGAGATCTCATCCAGATTGATATTATGGCATGGACATAAGTAGCTTTAAACAACTGGCTCCACTATGGTCCTAGTTCAAATTAGCTCCCTTTCATTTTGGAGGTGGGGACAAGCCTGATTCAGTCTAAGACCATGGTGGGTAGATAAATACAAAGCTCTCATTCCTCAATCAGATCTACTGCTCTTACTTAGTAAAGAGCAAGCAAGTACAGTACATGAGGATTGATTGTACAATTACTGTCATATTCTTATGGCTAGCTGCTATTAAAAAGTAAAAAAGTAAGTAGTCTCATTACATGAAGCAACTCTAGAGTGCCTCCTTGAATCCTTTGTTGTTTGGAAACTACAGTCAAGTCTAAGCAGAGGGCTGGATGCAATTTAAGATGAACAATTACAAAAAGGAAAATTTAATCCGTAAGATCCCTAAGCTTCTGTGTAGCATTTTCTGGATGAAGAGACAAATCTAGATTTCTGAGGCCTAAATTAGAATCCAACTCATCATTAATGGAACAGAAAGACCATCAAGTGGAAACTATATTAGCCAGCCTCTTAGAGTGGGCATTCTTCAGAGACCACCCATTTTTAACAATGAATGAACAAGGGCTAAAATTTCCAAAGAAATAAATGGAATATTTAAAAAAAGATCTTCAAATCACAGTAACAACTGTAATATATATCATACCAAGGCTAAAAATAAACACCTAACTTCTAATAAATATACCACAACAATGTGTCGCTTTAGAGGGTACTGCTTTTCAACTAAAATACTAGAACACAAGCAAGCATCTCCTTGTACACTTCCATAAAATTGATTCTTAATGTAATTCAGCTTCTAGTGCATATTAAGGCTGCAAATAGATTTATAGGTATATGCACAACATAGTTCCTTATTCAGTGGTTTGCAATCTTAAAACTATAACAGCAATATATATAAATACAAATCAAGACAATACATATAGTCAATTCCATTGTAATTTAAAGTATCTTGAATAAATCTGCATGAATTTTAACATGAATAAAAGTACAGTTCTGAAGGGAACCTCTCTTTTTATAACAACAACAATAATGCAGAACTTATTCCAGTCAGCCTCATCTCCTATATTAGAATGAGTAAAAAACAGGACTTGGGGAACCTTAAAGATTAACAAATATATTATCATGAAAGGTTTCCCTGCTCTCAGTCTACATTATCTATTCACTGTATTAAATCCACAGAAGCTTATGTGATAACAAATTTCTTAATGTTTAAGTGGCCAAGACCATTGCTTTTTCCATCTCTACACTTGTATGCCCTTGTAAACATTACAAAATATCAAGGGTCGGTAAGTTTCAAATAAGCCAATGAGATATTGCTGACTTAATAAAAAATCTTGCACATCTAGTTCCCCATCACCCTCAGCCACCTACTTCATGTGTAGTAAACTGTTCCTTGACTTCCTCAACATCATCAGATATGTCTTCCTGTTCTAGGAACGTATCTTCCGCAGAGAGCAGCCATGTGAGAACTTCTTCCAGAGCTACCTGGTAACTGTCCAAATCCATTTCCACTTCAGCCAAGGTACTGGGTGCTTCTGCTTTTAGACCTGCATAATCATCTTCAGATGTTGCGCTCTACAAAGCAGAAAAATCAAACTGAAGGCCTCTCTTCACAAAAGTATCTTCCAACACAGATGTTCCTCCATATAGGAGCAACTTACTGCAAGCAACAGTATATAAATACAAAAGGAGTTTGACAATAGATTAAAGCATCATGCTGTATGTATCTACTTGAAAACAGACAAGCGTTTGTAATAGCATGCTGTTGTGGGACCATGGTACAAGCAGTAACCACATATAAAACAGCTTGTTGGGGGATTAAAAAGAATCTCAGAAGTTCAGCACAATTAATTAGAGACCATATAGATGGGTGCTATTGGTGTGACTGTTGTTGCCCTTTGCTGACATTATATGTATATTTATTGTTACTATTTCTGGTTGGGTTTTGTTGTTTTTGTTTTGGGGTTTGTTTTTTTTTTGAGCTCTTAACCTTGTTAGCTGCCCAAAGTCTCTAAAGTTGCAAGATGGATGGCCATAAAAATCAAAATAAACAAACAAACGAAGAAGCCCCATGTTAATTCATGCATCTCATGTTCATATGCCTTATAATTTCCAAATCACAAACCACAAACTTCTGTATCTGAATTCTGTACATTTCCCAAGAGGAAGGTATACATTCTAAGTTTAGCACAAAAAATGATGCTTTCTATTTCTGAGAGTTTGCAATCTTCAGGACTGGCTAGGGAGCAAAGTTGTTTCTGGAACATCATTCACATTTTCAGGGTTCTAGCCATTATTGTTCATATACTTCTTTCATATAAATGCTTAGATACTTCTTACATGATTACAGAATATACTATGCACTTACACTGTAAAAAACTAATTCAAGAAATAAGCCTTCAACTGTAAAGTGAGTTTGCTAGGGTCAGTCTTAAAATTGTTTATGATATTGAACAGTATACAATATTCAGGTAAAAGTAAGATATGTGGAGCAAAATACTAGAAAAATACATTATACTCCATTTCCAATTGGAAAGGTTACTTACGGTGGCATCTGCCATACATAAAGTGAAGTTACTAGCAAAGTCAAGGAGAACCTCAACTTCTGCTGAAGTAACAGCCAGTGGAGTAAATTTATTTGACATATCACGCTCTAATTTTTTAAAAGGAACAGAATAATTGGTAAAAGGGGATTCATATGGAGTCACTGGAAAAAGGAAAAAGATACACATAGATATAAAAAGGTAATAAAAACATATCTTTGGATCGATCATTTCCTATTTATACTAAGAAGCTATTTTTAAATGTTCATGGGGACAGAAGGGGGAACTGCCCACACAAATCAATGAAGAAATCCTCAATTTTAAAATATAACCTTGTCTGTACAAATGTCAAAGCAAATGCAGCTCAGTGTTGCAAAACTGCAGGGGAGAAAGGGGAGAAAGACTATTTAAGAGTCGCTCGTGACAGCAACGTTCTGTGTAGCTCACACTGGAAATTGATATCATAGCTCAATATGTTTTATAAGTACTACACTATGTAGAGACTATCTGTAAAAAAATATCCTGTCTATTTCAAGTATGAATGTCTTTCATAAGTCAAGTTTCCGGATGCCTAAGTGTGGTATGTAACAGCAAACCTGTTACAAGCTAAGATCTCTGACAGGTGCCTGGCAAAATCTCTTCGGATATTTCAAACACTTTAAACAGTATGTACACTGAACGCTCTGCAACCAGTCTAATAAGAGGCAAGATGTTAACATGTGGTAACAGAAGCCTTGTTTATAATTTGTTGGACATTAGGAAAACAATTAAATGATAAATGTACTTCCAAGAATGTCATTAATTTGTGCTCATTATTTACAAAATACCCAGCATCACTATTGTATTGTGATTAAATAGGTCCCGTTTGCCCACTTGCAATTTAAAAGTTAATGCTTTAAAAATAATGGAATTGTTTAGACCCCCAAAGCTCTTTGAACTATATTATAAATCTGAATCATTTCATCCTTCGTTTACTCCTTAATAATTATGAAATCAAACAGCCTTGGGCATTTCATTCTCCCTTGCCTTTTCAAATTTTTAGTAAATAAAGTACTATGTAAAGTATATGCTTAAATTACAGAACTGCAAGAGTCTGATTAACTCCTATTTAAATGAATTGGAACATCAAATGAGAAAATGCCCAAGCTAATTGGCTTAATTTCTAACCCTAGCAAATTCTCAAAACAAAGTAGAAAAAAAAATAACTCAGCATTTTGTGTGCATCAACAATTTATTGTGTATAATTTCCAGAGTACTTATTTTTTAAGAAAAGATATTTGTGTACAGCAAAACACTGCAGTAATATGCCAGAAGAGAATCTTCACCATACAGGGTTTCTTATCTGCAATAAAAAGATATGGGTATCTTGGACTCCCTTACTATTTATTATAAACTCAACATTTCACTGAGATACACAGGCAAATAGGCAATGTTACCAGCTTTTTACTGAGGAGGGAAGGTTCAAGCAGTTGACCATGTAGTATGCACTAAGCCAGTGTTTCTCAACAACTTTAAGATGAGAGGACTTCAACTCCAGCGTGCTGGCTGGGGACTTCTGGGAGTTGAAGACCACACCTCTTAAATTTGCTGAGGTTGAAAAACACTGCACTAAGCCAATCCAAAGATTTAACACCTTTTATTTCTATATCTGTTTGTAGGAAACAATCGTAAAATCACTTCACAAAAGTTTGGGGACTTGTCATCTAATTTCAGCAGCGCAATGCCAAAGTGGGCTCTGGAAATTGCAAAAGATGTTTGAAGGCTTACTGCAGTCCTCAGGTGGCCCATCCCTATTATATACAGGGAAGCATTCAGAGCTAGCACATTTCAATACATTCAATTATAGAAGAATATGGTTGTGGAAAATTACATGCAAAGAAAATTAAAAAGAAAGGGAGAAAAGAAGGGAAGCTAGCGAAAAGAATGGCGTAGGTAATCCAGCCACAGCCAAAAAGGAAAAGATTACAAGTAGCCACATTTCAGACACAGGACAGTGATCTGAGAGAATTAGGAGGACCATCAACTAAAAGAAAGTCACAGTAATCAAGAATGAAAATAAGAGAATGAGCTAATGCCTAATAAATCAAAATTTTAAAAATGTATCAAGAAAACTAGGGAGTGAAATAAAAAATATACTCTTAAAATTTAGACGAAAAGAATAAACAGCAACTTTATCACGATATGACAAAGTGATGCTGAAAAAGCTGAGCAGGGGGAAGAAAAAAACATTAATTTTGGGAAAACATGAATGGAACTAAGAGTAAGAATACACAGAATAAAGCTGGAGGACCTATGCCCTCATTTTGTTGGATTCCTGCCTGCAATCAGCCCTTATCTGATTGCCAGTACTGAGGAATGATAGGAGTCATAGCCCAGTACAGAGGAAGTCACTGATTCGTCATCTTTCAGAAAAAGATGAGGGCTTAACACAGAACCCTTAAAAGCTTTATACCAAGTACCTTCCCAAACATGAATGATTCTTCTGCCCTCAATACTGCACATCATGTAGCTGCTGATATCCATCCACAAACAAGAAATACCACAAAAACTGGGTGGGGGGATTGCAAAAACATGTAACACTGGGATGAAGCCACTTGGCACGATCTCATTCCCATATTGAGATAAATACTTTGTATACTTTGGGAGTTGCAGGCCAAAATATCTGCAAGACACCAGGGTGGGGAAGATCTGAAGTGAATTAATGTAGGCAGCAACACTGGTGTTCATGGAGAAACTGCAGCTAAGCCATCTTGTATAACATATTGGACTTCTAGCAAATATGAAAAGGAAATTTAAGGATGATACTACTGAGGAAACCATAGAAAGCAGTACCAAAATACTAAGAACTGAGAAATTATTATCAAACACATTACAAAATAAATGTCCAAACAATGTATAGAGAAAATGAATACTTGCAGATTTTGCCACAAAAATAGCACTGAGAAACAAGTCAGAGAAGCTCTGCAAAACGAAAATTATGAAAACAAGATCATAATCTGTTTAGAAGATCTAAGAAGCAGAAGAGACAAGCATGTAATACACTTGAGAATTTTAAAATGAAAATGAAGAATTAGGGCTATGCAGCATTTAAGATTCAAAAACAAAAAGGAGCTGAAAGGGGCCCTCACACAGCACACTCCCAAAATCCTTGAAGCAACTTCCTCCCTCCCGCTGCTCCATGGCTACAGCAGTCTCAAGAAAAGATGCATTTGAGCAGCTGGCAACAGATGTTCTGTGCACATTCTGCCTGCTCCAAAGCACTTTTTTGGCTTTGAATTGAAAGCTCTGCTCAACCCTAGAAGAGATATAGGGTGAGAATAGAATAAAGGTAAAGGGTCAATGGCTGGAATATGATAAACTAGTATAGGTGACCAGGAGAAAGAAAAGAACTGGAAGACAGAGACCATGAATGTGCAATACAGAAGGGAGAACTCAGAGAGTAAGCCATTTTCAAAAAGAGAAGGGACTATCAAGAGGAAGAGAGAATATATTCTCACTACCCAACAGTGCTAAGGATGTAACTGTAGAGAAGCTCTCTGAAAGGGAATATTAATGTACCTATTAGTACAATTAATATTTTTCATACAGCATACCCAGTATACTTACTGCACTTAATATTAATGTATTCTGTATATTTTTACCCACTTTTTATATTTTTCAATGTTCAGTCATGATTGTAAAGTATTGGTAAGGTGTCCTGGAAAACTTTGTTTTCGAGCATATATTTTTAAAACTAATTAAATAAATGTCTTCTGCCAGTACTGTGAAAGAAAAATGATAGTCATCAGTATGTACCACCTGTCTATCTCCTTCTTCACATTCCTTTTTATATTTCCTTGGGAGAGTCTCTACTTCTCGAATATCTTCCAAAGTAACTTGCTGAGGAAGAACCTCAAATAAAGATGTCAAATACATGATAATGGATTTCTTATCAGGAAGCTGTACAGCAACATCTGAAAACATAGCATATAAATGAGATATTTATTTGATGGCTGTGCAAGTTTTCCAGGCTAAAGGTAATGGCAGAGCCATAAAACTATATTCATTATCTTCAAGTCCAGGTCCCCCAAATAGCTCCCCTCCCCAAATAATTCAGCAAAGGAAGTACAAAACATGAACCACCAAACTGAGAGCCATCACTTCTATATTCTCATGTTTTTTATCATCACCACTATGCTAGCAGAAGGATTTAAATCAATTTTTAAAAAACACAACATAAGTCACTGCAGGACATGAAAACTATCTATGAATGTTTAAACACCTACAGCAAGGGCAGACAAATCTTTTTCATGGCTTGGGCCACATTTCATTGATTTTTAAACTTTTTTGTCCACCAAGGACCCCAGGTAATATGGCTAGTGAAGTGGCAACATCACTATAGTTTCCAATCTGCTTTTCGGGAGTGGTTGATGTTTTAAAAGGGATTAAGGGATAAAACAGGAATGTGACTATTTTGCTTTATTTTGTAAAACAAAATGTTATTTTGTTAGTTTATATTTGATAAATTCAGAGGACTAGTCAATATGAGAAGTATTTGTCCATGCAGTCACTAGGAGTTCATTTCATCCTGATGGTACTTAACTAATTAACCACTGAAAAATAATTAAAATCCAGCAAGAATCTGTGGCTTTGCCACTGAAATCCAATTGTATGATCTGTGAGCGTTCTTGGAATTACAAAAATTTGCTGCAAAGCTATATAACCCACAGGTCAGGGGTTCCTACTTTCTTATCTAGAGCAACACTGCCCCCTTTCATCTTTGATATTCTCTGTCTCTAACAGAGAAGAACTGTATAGCAGTTATATTATCATATTTGTACCTTCAGGGTCTAGCAATTTTTCTATCCCCAAGTAATTTTTAGCGGTGCTGAAGGCATGTTCTAATCTTTCGAGTGGAGCCATTTTGATGACTTTATCCCAGCTGAAGAGCTCAGGTCTAAAAAATTAGAAGAAAAATAAGTGAATAAAAAAACAAGAAAGCATACATTCATTCACACTGTAAAGCAAAATACTTGTATGCATTACATATAACAATAAACCCAGCCAAATGGTTTATGCAGACATCACGTTCCACACACTTGCTGATCTTTTGTGGAAAGAGAAATAATGGGAAACTACAAAAACTAATTCCCTGGAAATGTAGGCCCCCTACTTTAATAGGAAGGCTCCTTCCATCTAAGCAGAGTTTATTGGGGGTTTCACACACTTGCTGATCTTTTGTGGAAAGAGAAATAATGGGAAACTACAAAAACTAATTCCCTGGAAATGTAGGCCCCCTACTTTAATAGGAAGGCTCCTTCCATCTAAGCAGAGTTTATTGGGGGGTTTTTTTTTCCTTTGCTCTTCATATGAAAAAACATGGACTTAAGAGACCTTTTGAGGCCAATAATAGAAGGCAACCTAATATTCAATAATGCTTACGTCGTTTTTATAAACACTGAAATGATGGTCCTGAATAGCTAAACATGGGGTTGAAGCACATGTTATGTATAATGTATAATAT